GGCTCCTCTCTTTGTTTCAATCTCTGCAACTTCACTTCCCCCGGTTTCCTCGACGACGTTTCTTTGACTCTTTTCGCCCGTTTCGGAGGAACCGCTCTGACGACCAACCACCAAAATCAAGGCCTCTCGAGTCATAGGGATTCGATTGTCTCAGCCCATTGTTCTTTTCTAGGAGACGACCCAGAACTGAGACGAGCACTACCGCATGCAATCATTGTAATAACTAATACGTCACGGCTTGGTCATTTACTCAGTTAAAAAGGCTTCTCAACTCATCAGGATATCCTGTGCGAAACCAATTCTCCTCCACGAAACTCTTCCGCGACAAACTTGGGAGACTTTTCGCAGTCCATTGACGTCGTATCTGTCTGCAAGCACTTGCTGGGATGCTCTAATGCTCCGGCGGCCGAGACCATGACTGTAAAAGGCGGTTTCACCAGTGCGGGCCAGCCAGGCCTTGACAGTCAGCATCAGGAGCCTGTGTCTGGGCATATGCCTCCTCCTATGGCCACAACTGATCTTCAATCTGATGCTTCCTCATCTACTGTCATTGCCCACGCAGACTCGCATCGGCAAAGCCACAGTTCTTCCAAGTTGCCCGCTTTCCGCTTTACTGACCGGCGAAGCAGCAGCTGTGGAAGCGTGCCCCTAGCTAATAAGAGTGACCCCCTGTCCCTTAGCAGCAGCAACCAATACAACCATAACAGAAACCAAAATCTCGATTCGAGAAACAATAACAAGGACGACCGCACCAGCGATTACCTTAACCACAAACCAACGACATCAGCATCAGCCTCAACACCAACCTCACCACCTGCCAATACTTCGGATAGCGCATCAGCGGCGCTTCCTCTGCAGTCTTCAATTGTGTCGTCGATTGTCTCACCCAATTCAGACCCCAGCACTATTACTCCGACTGTCTCACTCGCCCCGACCACAGTATCAGCAGATCCAGGCGCAGTGTCCCCCACGAGCGCTGCTGTTAGTGGACCATTGACAGCACCCGACCCTAGCCCAGCACCAGCAACTCTCGCGACGACCCATTCTCACACTTCTCACCCGACAACGCATCACCGCGACGAAAAACACGCTGTCTCTGCATTAACATCTGCGCCTGCACCTGTAATTGCACCCACAGACCCATCAACGAACACAACATCCTCGTCCTCGCAGCCCAACGAATCTAAGTCATCCAACGAATCCGACACAGCGCTGCTTTCGCAAAACAATTCCAGGACGTCCTCGGTTCAACCATCGTCATTGGTGATCCAACTCTCGCCTGGGGTCAAGCGTCCCGCATCTTTTGACGCACATGCACCTGATGCGATCTCCCCGCATCCTGCTCCTTCAACCTCCAAGTCTCGGACTCGGCGACCACTGGTGTCGCGAAGATCGACTGCTGGCACCTCTTCCACTGGCCCGCCACCCTCTTTAAACTCTGAGCGCCTGCAAGCCATCGAAGCCGCCCAGGAAGGTCAATCCACTTGGCACTCCTCAACGGACAATTCACCACAGCAATCGCCATCTGGCCAACGCGAATTGATTTTGCCCAAGACGCTATCCAGAACCAACTCAGATGAGAGGCGAGCGTCTGCCTCCCAGCGCCCTCCCGTCTCATACCGACCGCCTCTCACCTCCAATAGTAGCACTGAATCATCGCCGTCAACCGCCGTTCGTGTTCCTCCAATTCGATCTTTCCGATCTTCAGGCTCCCGCAAGAGCCTCACTCTCGATATGAATTCGAGACCGCGCTTCCACGACTCTGGCGACGAAGTCGAAGACACTAATCATGACCGTACCCTGCGCGCCTTAGAGGGTAGGGGCAATGATGATGCCCTTCGTTCAGCTCCTTTAACCTCAAGTCGTCGTGGCGCCTTCGATAATGAAGATACTGGTGACGTTTTTCTTAAGATTGCTAGAGAGGAAGCTTCCCAGCGTCAAACAGACGAGCAACCTCAAGAAGATACCCGCAGCGTAGTGGCAAGTCCCTCCCTTCTATCGCTTCTTATTGTTTTCCTCGTCATTTTTTTTTTTATGATGCTGGCCATGTGCTGTCCATGGTGCATGTTCACCCGGGTTGCGCGAAACTTTTCAGGATCCACCACGAACTCAATTGACTCGTTGATGGAAATACATCTCGACTTTGATTTGTCTCCCAGCTCGGAAGCTAACCTTCATAGTCCCGAGCGACGCGATTTACGCATCGAAGACCGCTATCATCGGTAGTCCCTATACATCAGCCTACTTCGCCTCCTAGGGTTCGGCGCCGACTTTCCGATCAACAAGACACTGCGCGGTCACGCTCCAGAGGCTACGAAGATGACAGGGCAACTGAAATTTCTCGCATGTCAACTTATCGCACACTGCCACGAGAAAAAGCAGCATCTGCGCATCCTGGAGAAGATACAGGGCGTATGCGAGGCTCGACCTCAACCATGCGTCCGTCACCCGTTACACCTCGATCAATAGTTTTCCAAGAACCCAGTTCCGAAAACTCCATGTATTCTCGTCGGAGATCCTCTGTCACTGACAACAACGTAAGTGGACAAAACCGCGGCTCTGCGTACAAATTCATGGGACACGGTCACAACAAGACGTATAATTCCTCTCCTCTGGTCCGGTCATTCGATTTCCAGCGTCAAGCAAATCAGGAGGCTGGCAACGGGGCTGAAGGAACCGAATCGACTTTGTCGAATACAGCCCCCTCCACGGTATGGGACGAACTAGACGACCTCAAATCAAGAATACATCGACTAGAACTGACTGGTAAGCTGCCTTCGACCTCCGGCGCCGCAGTATCGAGATTATCAGACGACCGACCGCCGACGGCGACTACTACAGCCACGACTATGTCTTCTTCCCCTAAGCGAGTCGAGAATGCTCACCAGAACACGAATGCCGACGCTGTTAGCACCACGTCCTCCCACCACCGAGAGTCGCATTCAATTCTTCAATCCGCCCTTGCTAAGTCCAAGGTTCTACTCGACACGGAAGTCTACCAGGCTCTGGAGTCTGCTGCTAACGATGCCATGGCCCTCGCTTCCATGATGGGAACACCCGGCCTACCTGGACCCATTTCGAGCGGCGCCAGCACGATAGGCTCTAACGCAACCGTTACTGATCGCCAATTGAGACGAAAGGCCGAGAGTGTGTGTCGCAGCTTAACAGAGCTTTGTCTCGCATTGGGTGAGGATGCCACCCAGACACGGATACCGCGGCAGTCAATTGAAGTACCACCACCTGCTCAGAATGACGCGCCGACTACACCGACAATTGGTAAAACCTTTACTGGCTTTTCTCAACGTCGACAGAGCATTGGGAGAAACGACCAGAATGCTGCCAAGGAACATCTTACTAGCCCCAGAACCCTGTCCAAGTTTGAAGAGAGAAGACTCAACATTCTTAATGGCAGTTCTCTACCTACATCACGCGTGTCTAACGCAATCCCATCAACACCAATCGAACCGATCTCGAATCGGCGTTCTTCCCTTTTGGTTTCTCGATCTCGCCGTGCTGGTACCGAAGAACCTGATGATGGCAGGAAGTCATCGCTTCTACTAAGAACTAGAAGAGCTGGTACTGAGGAGCCTGATGAAGGCCGTAGAACCTCTTTATTCGTCCGCAACCGTAGAAACACGGTCGGCGAAGAAGGCGAGGAAGAATCGAGGTTCCGAGCGCCCTCTCGAGCACCTACTGAGCTTGGCAGCACGATTCGAGTTGTGACACAAGACCAAACGCCACAGCAACAGCAATATTCACCGTCAGCTGATACCACATCTGCCATCCCGCGTAGGCGCTTTGTTTCATCAAATCTTGGTGTCTCTAGGCTGGCGACACCATCAGTTAACACAGCAACACCGCCTCGAAGGTACATGGAGAGACCGACACAGCAAGACCACGGTAATAGCGCTGTCGACAAGCTTGCTGAAGAGCGCGCACAACGCTACACTTCTCTTGGGCAAACAACAATGGTCAATCGGACCAGCAGTATGATCAGGAGACCCAAACGGGATAGCATTGCGTCCGCCAATCCTTCTGCAGCTGCTGGCAGCTACAGATGATGCCAATGACCAATGACTTTCATTGATTTAACGACTGTACAATTACCTATACATTATGTTTCGAGCGCCGGACGTTGCTATTTATATATGTTTACACGGGAAACAGCTCATTTTTCCTGTCCCCTCCATTGATTCTCATCCGGCTTGGCTAAACGATTCATGGCGAGTGTCGGGGACGACAAATTACATTATCGTTCTTGTATGATGTACATGCACTGTCTATAGACAAGCCCATTTTGCTTGAGAGGACAGCACTTTTGCAGGGAGGGTAGTATCTTGGTGTTTGGAAGGAGGTTTGTTTTCTGAAAACGGCGCACAAGGAGTGGCCACGCAAGAAACAAGACAGAGCCTAAGCTTTATATCTGTTTTATATCGGGTAGGCAGTCAAGAGGACATCAGGATAAGCATGTGGATACCGATTTATTTTAATGTATGATGTGGCTTGGTCGTTTGTGACGGCTCTTTTGTTACCCTTTGACTTTGACCTTGGTGATGTCGTTGTAAAAGACCTGTGAGTTTAATAAACGGATGTAGGACATTCAGTGGAAGTATTGAAGTTTAAACAATAGTGCCTGCTGGATCCGAGTCTGTTAGGAAACTCAATGTGCATTTTATTTCCCGCTGCTATTGGCCTATTTGGCGACATTATACGGATAGAGTTGATCTAGACTAGAGGCTGAGTCAGGCCGAAACGCGAGATGCAGGTGAGGCAGTCTGTAAGGGTAGGCCCCACTGGATTCTCACAAGAATTCATATCTTTTGAGTGAGTGAATGGGATTTCGACTCATGCCTTCCATCGTGACATCTCAAATATTAAAAAGAAGTATTTCCCCTCTCAATTTTTCGACTTCCAATAAACCACGTTTTCCGCTTCAGACCCGTTTCACTACATATCAACCACTTCATCACACGATTTTTGCACAACGCAGACACGGCATCATGGCTGACGAGGCTCTTATCGATGTTGAGGACAAGATGCAGAATAGACCACCAAGATCAAGAGGTGATAGGGGACGAGGAAAAGGCAGCGGCGGCGGCGGTCAGGGAAGAGAGGTGCAGGTGTCGAAGGCCTTGTCCAAGCTCTTGAGACATCAGGCAGCTAATGCTGGCATTCAACTCGACGATGAAGGCTATGCGCCCTTGGATGCTGTGGTAAGTAGTGCATCGTGGGAGAATCAAATAAACTTGAAGTACTCTTCCTGGGGACAAGCCTTGCTAAAACTCTTATGCAGCTCGCATGGGGCCCCTTGCGATCTTTAAAGGTCACGTTTGACGACATCCAGTCCATTGTCACATCCAACGACAAGCAACGGTTTACACTCAAGCCCAACTCTGTTAAGAATCCTTCCCTAGATGCCAAGTCCACCCTACCAGCCGATTATCTCATCCGTGCCAACCAAGGTCATTCCATCAAGCTTGAGTCCGCAGCTCTTCTGGCGCCCATCACTCTCGAGGGCGGTAACGTCCCTGAGCGTGTCCTCCATGGATCCTTCTTTTACTTTTGGCCACGCATCGTCGAGTCCGGCGGCCTCAAGCCCATGAGTCGTAACCATGTCCACTGCTCAACAGGAACGCCCGAGGAAGGCGTCGTTAGCGGAATGCGCAAGGATGCAGAGCTGATTATCGAGATCGACGTTAAAGCAAGCTTGAAGGATGGCGTGAAGTGGTGGCTGAGTGACAATGGAGTGTTGCTGACGGAAGGCGACGAGCAGGGTGTTTTGAGCACCAAGTACTTCAAGTTGGTGACGGGGCGTAAGGTTGATGTTGGTGTACTGTGGCAAGACGGTCAGTGGATTGCTGATCTACCAGCTGGCTTGAAGATAAGCCCTCCGCTTGGAAAGGGTCCTCGACAGGGTGGTGGAAGAGGAGGAAGGGGTGGTAGACGCTGAGGCTCGTAGAGATAAGAAATTAATTTAAGGCCTCCAGTTTATAGAGACAATATGATAATATGACATCCCGGGACCATCTTGGTGGACACGACTGTCAACGAGGAAAGCATTCAATGACATTGATTTCGTGGACTCCTCAGTCAAGATCAACCCAATTCGCTCTATCGCCTAGCTAGGAGTAAAAGAAGTCATAAGACATCAATACTCAATAACAGAATTAGACCACCTTTGGTGTGATGAAGCCTAAACTCGGATTGTTGATTTTTTGTATACTGATTACAGGTTTCAAGTCTCTTTGCACCCCGAAACCAAATGAACAAGACAGCGAAAGTCAATCATAACGCACAGCCCAGGAGGTCGAGTCCATGATGCTTGAAAGCTGCTCGTCTCTTTTCTTCCCTTCCTTCTCCAACCACTCAAGCACCTTCTCCGCGACTAAGATCTCAGCTTGCTGTCTTCCCACGATCCCCTTTACAACACCCATGTCCTCCGGAATCAGACCATCATGCCTGAAAACAGGACACCCATTCCAAGTGTCTTCTTTCTCGTTGTCTTGTTCGATATAGTACTCAGGAATGCCGAAGCCCAGGCGCCCACCGAGACCGGCGACACGCTCACGAACGGTAGGGCCCTGGGTGGTAGCAGAAGCCAGAGGAGTACTAGTTGGGACGCTGTTATCGCCTGAACGAAGAGGCGTAGCCATAGAGACACCACCATCAGAGTTGTCTTCCTCCGTCTTGATCCTAGTATGTGCAGGAGGCTCTTGCGATCCTGAAGGGGCTCTCTTGCTACCTCGAGGTGCTGGCTCTTCCTTGCGGAGGTACATGAGTGCATGCATGGCAGCAAAGTTCTTAGCCTTTTGAACCTTCTTGAAAGTTGGAACCTCTTGACCAGTCTCGTAGCCACGGCCTTCCTGGGGGAACTTCGTGTTTTCAGAAGGAAGAATGCAGAAGACACGGGATCGAGGGATAGGTGTGCCGGAGACTTGTTGGTTGAAGGTCTCTTGAGCGAACTGAGGATTTGGGATTTTATTCTGCTGACAGTACTCTGACAAACGGACATGATTAGGAGCTTGCTAGGAAAGATCATGTTTTGGCGGGGAAACTCACGATTCAAGTCGCTAACCCAGAAATCTTCCACTTCAATGTCACGAACAAGCTCGATGAGATGCGAGATGGCGGCGATCTGCTGCTTGTTAAGCTGCGCAGGATTGCCCGTCTTTGCTTCTTCGGCCTTTTTCTCCTCAGCGAATTTTATGATTTCATCCCAAGGAACCCCCCCACTGTGAGTTGGAGAGCCTTGAGTCGTCATTGTGCTTTCAGTGTGTCTTTGGTTGATGTAGTGTTTAGGTGCTGAGGGTGTAGTTAGATGGAGTGTGATGAAATGGCGAACGTTGAGATGAGATGATGGGGGGAAGTGAGAAGCTCGGTCGATTATGTGAAGCAAAGGAAGAAAGGTGGAGAGCTGGCTGTGTAATTTATAGCTGTGATTCATGAATTGGCGAAGCCTTTCGGGAGTGAAGAATGGATGCCTCTTAGAATATCGCAAAAGCGAAGCACAATAGGCTTTCAACAAGGCAACCAGGCTTCATCGGCAGAGCAGCTTAACTTGACCGGCTTTAACTGCTACTGCCGATGTATGAGCAGAAGAGTATTTGATTGGATCGTTGTGGATGTCAAATGTGCAGCACATCTGCGGCCTTTCAGGAAGAAAGCGCTTACAATTAGGTGATTGAGTTGGTGGTGAACGTGGTGATAGTGGCTGTGAGGGGTCTATTTTTCTGGCCAACTATAGTGGAGGTGGGCCGATTGAAACACATAGAGGAGTTGATACAGAACCAGGCTCTGAAAACCCGAACTTAACAACGCTTGATTGATTGTGTTGGTTATGCTATAGATAGGTCCAACAATGGTCGACCCATCAGTGTCGCAGGGTATCTACCAACACTTGATGCACTTTGGAAAAACTCTCTCCAAGCCATGCCATTCTATCAGTCTCCCCAAGGCATACTTAATCCTCTTCAAAGAAACCGCCCTCGTCACTATCATCATCATCACTCTTGACGACTGGCTGTGCAGCCTGACGCTCTTGTAATCTGCGTTCTCTGCGGTTCTTCGGAGCAGCCCCTGCTTTGCCCTTGCCCTTGGCGAAGGGTGCAGGCTTTTCCTTTGTGGCCTGTGGCTTTGGCTGCGCCTTTGCCTCGTCTGTGGTCGTTGCCTTGGGCTTGTTCTGACGGCGCTCTGACTGTGCTTCTTGTGGGAGCTCAGCTGGCCGTCTCTCTCTTAGATTTCGCAGCGCGTGGGGGCCACCCTTCATCGCCTGTTCAATCTCCGACCAGATTAGCGGTCGCTCTGTATGTAGCAGACCCCTATGCTTGAGTGGCGTGTAGTCAAGTTTGTCATCATCTTTATCTTCGTCTTCCTTTTCTGATCTGGCGCTGGTGTACAGGCTGATGTAGGGTTCGGCATGGGGAAAGTGTTGTGTGTACGCCTCGTCCACCTCGGCAACGTGCAAGTCACGCTTCAATGCCTCGATCTCGTCCGTTTCTGTAGATTCGGTCTCTTCAATCCTTTTGCGCAGCTGTTTCGCTAATCGCGATGCCTTCTTTCGCTCTGAGTCGCGCCATGTCAGCATTCTTTCTGAGCAGAGAATGAAGCCCAGAGAAAATCTTACCAAAGAAGCGAACCATGTGATATTTCGATATCATGGCACTTCGTAGCTTCTGGAAGCTCTTGTCTGAGACTGTCGACTTGAGAGCGCCCAGTTCTCGTTCGAGATCATTGCGCACGTTGGCGGGAAGTTCTTGGTTTCGGTTCAGGAGTCGTTCGATAGTGCGCGTTCGCTTCTTGGCCCATGTTGAAGTTCCTTCGTTCGGTCGGTGCTTTGACTTGCTCGACTTGTGCTTCTTTGCACCATTGAATGATGGACGATTGCGAGGCTCGGGAGACCCAATCTCTGAATATTCTCTCTTTTGCCCCATGGTGACGATATATGGCTCGTGCGAGGATTACGAGGGAACAAAGAAGTAGGATTGCGAAAAGAAGGTTCAGAAGAGACTCGAAGTGAAGGCTGAATATGTTAAAGAATTACAAGATGGTCAACTTTTTTTCCCCTTCCTGTGCTAGCGGGGACTTGCTACAGTATCTTATCAAGCACGTCTCAATTCGGGGTAGCGTCGGACGCTCGGGCTTGTGGGGAAGGTGCTCTGGGAGGTTCATCTAAGCTCGACACCCTCGAATCCAATTCCAATCACTATCTTCTTTATATATCGAGAGCCTTTTCTTTTGATGTCCATAGTGTCGAACTTTGGAGGATTAATCTACCCTCAAGGCTTTTCTTTGTCATTCTTATTATCAAACCATTCTCAAGTACTTCGACACGGAACTTGTCGTTCGACTCATCGCCAGAAATCATCTCCAAGCTAACTTAGAGTCGCCGCCAACCTCTTTTCAAGAAGATCCATTCAAGACAAACCCAACTACCAAAAGGTCTAACCATCGACTAATGCTGATGTGAAAAACCCGCCACTGGGCTAAATCCCCTCTACCATGGATCGCCCCGAACCAGGGCTCGTCAAATGGTCGTCCAACCCGTCATATGATAACTTCATTCATATCAACCTTCAGCACCGCGTTGTCCAGGTTTACGAACCGACTGGTCACGCAAGAGCTGGCAAGTTCGACTATCAGAAACTCACTCGTCACGATGACTTTCCTCCTCTCACAACCTACGATTGGTCGCCAACCAATCCCGGTCTTCTCGCCGTTGGCACTGGAAGTGGAATTGTGAACTTGCTTAGGATTGACGATGGATCTAATGCGTACGTGGAGCTGGGTCTCAAGATGTCTCGTACTTGTCAAGCCGTTGCGTTCAATACAACCGGGTTGTTAGCAGTTGGCCTGGACAGAGTGCGGATGGATCAATGTCTTCACATCTGGGATGTCAGCCGATTGTCTTCAATAGACAAGAACACAAAAGGCTTTCCTTCGGATGCAACTAATATTGCTGAACCTAAAACCCGCCTTGAACCTAGTGTCTCTGTGTCAAGCATCAAATTCTTTGAAGACAGCCCCCAAACTCTTGTTGTTGGTATCAAAGCTCAGGGTCTTCGAATACATGACCTTCGAGGTAAGTTTCGGAGATGAAACGAGATTCTTGCGCAAGCTGACGTATATTACTTGTCATCAGATCCTTCAAGCATTGTTACGTTTCAAACAAAGTGCAACAACAATCTTACAATCGACTATGCTGATCAGAATTATTTTGCTTCGTCTGCCCTGGACCATCCTGGAGTAATGATCTGGGACCGTCGAGCTACATCTCGACCTGTGGCTTCTCATGCATACATGCAAGCAATTGAGGAGGATGAACTCCCGTGGGGTGGAGCATTGCGTCTTGACCGAGTCATTGAGACTGATTCTGACCCTTTCCTGGCTGAGGGAAAGTATTCCCTTGTTCGATCACTTCGATATTGTCGTGATCATCGTGGCTTGCTTGCTGTGCTATCTCGTACAGGACAACTCAAGGTCTTGAACACCAACAAAGAGGCCCCATCTTCTGGGTCGAGCAACCCGGAACTTCTCCAAGTTCAAAAGTCTTATGAGATGGACGTCTCATATGTCGAAACATCAAGGAAGAATGATCGAATTGTTGCCTTTGACTGGGTAACATTGAGCTCACCTGTTCTTCGTCCACGACTCCTTGTTCTACGAGCCAATGGAAACTTTGAAATCCTCGAACAGCCATCGCAAACATCAGATCATGTTTACAAACTTGTACCATGGACAGCACCGCATCGCGGTCTCGAAGGTAAGTCAAGCTAATCCTTGACAGTTTGGACATGTCTAACACCGTGCAGAGGGTGCCCCATACCACAGTATGATGCAGTTTGAACCATCACAAGCTCCCGATATGTTAGGGCCTCTTCTTATCGAAGAAGCTTTGTCAGAAGTGCCATTATTCGGACCAGAGAGCGCAAGTGTCCGGGCAGATACGGAGGCCTTACTGAAGGCAAATAACATGACTTCAGTGGTTATAGAGGACATTGGGGCAACCACAAGGCCACTGCCTGAGGCCTTTCACAAAGCTTCTACCGTCGCAGCTAAAATAAGAGCCTTGCGTGCCTTCGTAAGAGATGAGTTCCAAGCTCCAAAGGGTATAAAGCCACGTGCTGGTGACACGAAGATCGTCGAAAGCGAGACCAGTGAGATGTCTCTAGCTTCCGATAGCTTGGGCTCATGCCGGGAAATCCACGATGCATTGTTGGCTTCACTGGCTGAGACTGAAGGTCTCCCTCGAGAAGCACAGAACGTACTTGATCACAATATGTTGTTACGTGCTAGAGAGAAATACCTATTCGACGCGGTAGCAAACAGAGACATCGTGGCAGACGATCCGTGGGTAAAATATATATGGGATTGGGTCGCTAGTAAGTACCTTGATATCACTCTTTCTTACGACATGCTAATCTCTTCAAGCTGCTGAAGACAACGCTGATGATGGAGGGATGATACTCTCGAATATTGACCTCAGCTATGTTGGAGTTCACTCAATATGGACCAATAATCTTGGTAAATCACTAGAAGCGGAAACAGTCCAGACCCCAGCTGACGTTGTCATAGGCTGTGATCCTTCTGCTCGACTACCTCCTGGCATAACGCCCCCCGATCGCACAACATGGGAACGTACCATCGCAAGCTTCTGCAAAAAGAATCATCTTCCCAAGTTCAACGGAGCAGCTACCAAATGGCCAGCCCACCGTCAGCTATGCCTCGAAATATGCGGCTGGGGCGATTCAGAAAAACATGATCCAAAAGGCCGCAATCGAAAGGCAGATCCTGAGTACCCCACCACCATTCATACCATGGCTGCTGCTCGTGCTTTATTCACAGGAGATCACAAGGAAGCCATCCAGATCCTTAAGAAAGCCAGCACTGCGCATCCTGAACTCTTATTTGTGTCTTTGGCCCTACAGCTTATGGGTAGCGGCGACAGCACGCCTGCCAAGAACAAGGAACAGCTTGATTTCGATGAAGATGTTGCGTCCAAAACCGACCCTTACCTCCGAGCCATATCATCACTAATTGCGACAGGTGACTGGACAGCCATAGCTAGCCAGCTATCCCTTCCCCTTTCCGATCGAGTTTACGTTGCAATTCGCAACTTTGATGATGACCAGCTCACACAATGGCTCAATGAGCAAATCGCCTTAGCGATAGCAGACGGAGATATAGAAGGCATCGTCCTTACAGGTATCACAGAACCCATGGTTGATATTTTTGCCCGCTACATTCAAAAGTTTCATGACGTTCAGACAGCGACCCTTGTGCTGTCTATTTGTGCACCGAGATATATAGACGATATTCGCTGTCGAGCCTGGCGCAACACTTACCGGGCCCATCTTCAGCGCCATAAACTCTTCTTCCAGCGCACAAAGTTTGACGTCGAGTCAACGAAGCGATCAAAACGGGACGGCATTCCCAAATTGAAACCACCTTCTCGCCAGATTGCCCTCCGCTGTGTTTTCTGCGATGCTGAGACATCACTCGCAAATAACGCCAATCAGCCACCGCATCTTGGCGGTGCCTCTTCTGCGCAAGCAGCATCAGCTCTCGAGTCTCGAAACCCGCTTCTCGCAACGAGCATCAATGCGGGTGTGAGCTGTCCCAACTGCGGTCGACACCTCCCGCGTTGTGTAGTCTGTCTCGAAATTGTGGGCGTTCCTCGTTCCGACAAGCCAGAAGAAAAGAGCGAGTCTAAGATGGCTGGCCAGTTTCCTACGTTTTGTCTCCGCTGCGAACATGTTTTACATCTGGACCACGCCCGCCAGTGGTTTGCTAGACACGTTGAGTGTCCAGTACCGGAATGCCGATGTCGATGTAACTTCAGAGCGAACCCCGAGTTGAGCTATCGTTAGGATATCCATGATCTGGACATCTAGAGTCGAAGGAGGTTTGCCTGTTGGCCGGGCCAACGTAACTGGGAATTATCACGGAACATCTCATATCTGGATTATCTTTGCGACATATACAGTTGAATATTGGTGAGGGTGTCTAACTTGGATTGCTTATGGAGTTGAGGACAAAATATATCCTTTATCTTCCGCTTCTATCCGCAGGTTTCGCAAAATCAACAGCCAAGAAACAACTCCGTGTCCCATTTACCCCCACGCTCCTCGAGAATCCAGCCATTGTATCCTTCACGCCGGAGGTTTCCAAAAAGTGTTCGCCTGTCCTTCCCAGCATTGCACCTAGTATTCAAGTAGGTATCGTATGTTTTTCTATCTTCGTACGGTCGCTCCGTGTCAATCATCTCTAACGCATATAAAACAAAGGGGAAACCAAGGCCCCGACTATCCAAAAGGGGTATTGTGACCAAATGAGTCATCAATTGACAGATGAAAGGTTTTCTTTCTTGTAGACAAGGCTTGATGACGATGTATTATTCGAATGGGGCCTGAATGGTATGTGGTGTTATTCTTCAACGGCAGCCTGGCACCAAGGATGCTCCAGCACCTGGTTGATATCGTAGCGCTTAGCAACATCTCGATCCAGCATGCATCGAATGAGGTCGATACTCTCCTCGCTCAAAATGTAGGGTATTCGCAGGTCACGATCCATGATCTCATCAATACTGTAGAAAGGATTCTCCTTGTAGATGATGGTGTAGAGGAGAATACCCAGTGCCCAAACGTCTTGCTCTGTGCCCCGATAAGGCTTGCCAGCGAGAACTTCAGGAGCGGCGTAATCTGGTAGCGAGTCAGCAAATTATGACATGTTTCTAGGCGGGCTGCAAGTTACTTACCGATTGTTCCCACAAAGACATCGAAAGGACCGCTCTTGATGTATGCAGCACTCCCAAAGTCGATAAGTTTGATGTTGCCTTCTCCGTCAAGAATTACATTTTCATCCTTGATATCGCGATGCACCACGCGAGCCTTAGTGTGGAGGTGGTGAATCGCATTGGCCACTTGGACGAAAATGCTGCGGCATTCAGACTCGTCCATGTTGGTTCGGAGTTCGATGTAGTCAAAGAGATCCATGCCTGGTAGACCATGAGGGATCATCTCGATATAGTAGTTCACATCATCCTCAAAGAATCCTTGCATCTCGACGATGTTGGGGTGAAGTAGCTCAGGTTTGCGAAGGTACTCCAAGACATGAATCTCCAGGGGTACAGTGCCAAGCTTTCGGTCTCTAGTCCACGTATCGACGAGAATGCGTCGCTTGGTAACGTACTTGAGCACAATCTTCTTACCAGTTTGTTTGTGCCGGGCTAGCTTCACTTGACCATACGCACCCTGGCCCATTTCCTCCAAAATCACATAGTCGTTGATGGTTTTCTTATGGGGAGGTTCAACAACCTTGGGAACCGGGGCCGCCTCTTCAGGCTTGGGCTTTGATTGTTGCCCCGTGATCTTAGCAGCAGCATTCATGGCAGCATCTTTCAAATGCTTGGACAGCGAGCTCGCGGCAATCAACACATTTTTTCGAGGTCCCTCGTCATCTGAAGCAATCTCAAGAGGCGTATGAGCTGGGGTCTGGCCGGGTGATGGCTGGTGAAGGGGTGTTAAAGCTCCAGCCCGGGTAGGGGTTTCGAGTCCGAGATGAGGCTGAGTACCGTGGAGATGGCGAGAGTAAGTAATCCATAAAGCATACACTATTTCTGAATGGGTCACTTCGAAGGCTTCGTCGCCGGTGGCGTTGTCCTCATCGCTGCCTTCGAAGACAGTCTCATTCATCATAACGGTTTTCTTTTCACTCTTGACTACACGCATTTGGACGTCAACCTTCAGATCGGATCCGTCACGATGTTTGGCGCTTAATCCAGCGGGATGGAGAAAAGCAGACGCAGCATCAGGTCTGTGCTCTTTTAGAGCCAGGAAAGCCGAAGCCTTTCTGAAACGATGTTCAGGAACAACCATACCATCAAGGAGTTGTATACCATCCTCTTCTATCAGTGACCCCAGAATGTTGTCGAATTCTGGGATCAGCGCATTGATCGACATGCCATCAGCCTTTTCGAAACCGAAAAGTGCACCGCAAAAGGCTGCATTTGAGCTTCGAATCTTGAGGGTTTCTGGCTCAACCACGACAATTCCAGCCATGTGAGGGAATGTCGAGACACGAAGCTCTAGCTTGCCACGGGTTTGCTCGACTGTGCAAGGCACGTTAACTTGAGGTGAATGAGGACAGGTGAAGTATCTCCGCCTTGTGACCTGTGCGAAATCGATTTCTCCCGTGTTGGGGTCAATCCCTTGACGGGGAATCCGTGGAATGAGTCTCGCTATATCAAATCCAGTAGGGATTGACTCGAACCCCCAGATGGGAGCGGTAGATCCAGTGACTTGTTGAACGATGCCGTCTTCGTCCAAAGTAATGTAGGCAACGTCCTCATGAATCTCTTCCAAAACCCAGATCAAGCCGACTTTCTTCTCTTTGACCCACAGACTAGCAGAACCGGTCGCACCGTTGCGTTTCTGAATGGGGACCACGTCACCGCAAAGCAGCACTCCTCTCGAAGAGTTTGTCTGATTATGCCCGCCGCCCCGGGTTTTGGAGGGGCTTGGGTCGCCGCTATGAACCGTCTGCGCACGCCTTTGTGTATAGCTGCGTGGCTGAGTTCTCGAGTTTGGTTTGCTTAGGAGCTGGGCGGTTATTCCAGATTTCCCATTAAGCAGTGCCGAAGCTGCTGAAGCGGCAGGTGTTGTTTGGCCCGAGGGGGTTTGGCCTTCACTAAGCTCATCGTCTGCTTGTTTCAAGAGTTTTCGTTCCAACCATGACCTTCTCTCCTCCTGAACAACTTCCAAGATACCCATCTTGCGCACCTCAGCTTTTGTCACACCAAATACCAGACAGGCGAGATCGTTTGCTGCAATAATGGTCCATGGCGGTTTGACTTCTGTTGTAAAGATCGCCTGTGCAGCGGGTACCCAACGGTTTGTGTGTCCATGTACAGAAGGGCCCAACTGAGTGGGGAAATTGGTCGCTGTGGCGCTGGGGAGTTGAGCCAAGGATGGAGAGTTTAATGGTTCTTGATATATGGGCTGGCCAGTTAAGAAAGGCTGCGAAACTGTATCTATAAGCTTATCTTGAGCTGACACGGCCGTTATATCTGTCATTGTTCGCTTCAGGCTCAGCGTCGGACGGACCGGTGCGGGTTTCGCGCCCGAAGTGCCACCTGCACTGGCAGACACTGTAGTTGATTGATCCTGAACATGAGTAGTCTCATGGGCTGCTGACTCAAGTGGGATGGATCTTCTTGTTGTCTCAACCCTTGAACGTCGAGGTGGTGGCGATGTCTGGCGAGGACTGATAAGATCTGTGCTGGATGCTCGAGGGTCGAAATTCTTGTCGAAGACATTTTCCTGAATCTCAGCGGGACCGGTCAGAGGAGCCGGGGCGTAAGAGTCGTCGGGGTTTGGTAAGTTTGGAGCTCTAATTAGCTGTGCCTGCGCGAGTAGGTCAAGCATGTTCTGTGTTTCAACATCGCCGCTTACTCTTGCCTGAGCACTTGCAAGAGCAGCCTGCGACGAGTTCATAGGAAGTCCCATATGGTCCTTCATGAACTCGACGGACCGTTTGAGGGCATTTTGTCGATTGTGCAAAAAGTCCTCGGACTGATTGGCGAACGAGAAAGAATGCAAAGACTCGGAGGGGAAGCGAGAAAGGTCGTCGGAGAAGCTGGGATTTGATGGACCACCAGTGAGCGACAAGCTGCCGGTGCTGGCGGCCATCGCACTCATCGAAGTGGAACGAGATAGGGCGGCAACGGATGGGCTTCGCGAAGATGCTCGGGACCCTGGTAATGTAGGGTTCCTCGATGGTGGGCGTGTTTGTCTAATTCGTCGGAGGCCGGACAGGCCTAAGCCATGCTCATGATCGGTCATGATGGGAGACCTGGAGTTGATATGGTGGTCAGCAAGGAAGCAGGCCGAGGGTGGGCGCCACAGCTGGGCTCTGTGACGCATGATTCCACTCAACATACCTGGCGATAGCTTCAAGGTCAGCGGCTGCCGCCGCCGCGGCGGATGCGTCCAGAGACATACGTGCTCTGCTTCGATCTTGCGTTGAGGAGTTTCTTGCGGCAGCCAAATTTCCTGTACTACGGTTCTTTGGCAACGAGAGGGGCATTGGCAGCTTCTCACGTCCACGTTCATCATCCCCTGTGTGATTTTCGGCTCCTGCGTCAAGGAATCATGGTTAGCTGACAGGAGGAGACAAACCAAGAGTAGTGGCAGGTTGCAGGTAATACCATGATCATTTTGTCCTCCATGCATCTGTAGCATAGTTGGAGTCGGCCAACGAGAGGCCGAAACCACAGGTCAAGTCGTGATTGAAGGGTTACGAGGTCTGCTCTGAGGATGGCGGGGTTGAGCAGGAAATCTCGGTTGGCTCGATTGCCCAGAAATCGATTGAAATTTGAGACCACCCGTCAGTTAGGAGAGGGAGTCGTTTATCCAAAAGACTGAGTGATAGACCAAGATGTGTATGAATATATTCTGAATTATCGATATTCCAGATATGGACGTTGAAGGGTGACGACGGATGAGACTGTCAATGTCAAGGATGGAGATGGGGGCGTATTGCCAGGGCTGTGTCTTGACTTATGACCCAAAACACAAAGAAAACAGCCCAGCCAGTGTGAGTCGAAGGCAATGCCGAGAGTGCGAATTGGGCGAGTACCGCAGGGTTTATCAAATTATAGGGGAATAGGTTAACTTTGGTGCACGTTAAACTTTGTAACCAAGAGAAACTTTGATTGTCAAGAGCTTTCAGAAAGAGCCCGAGAGATTGATGTTGAGGAGTTCGAAGGGATTTGAGTCGTTATCATAGGCTGCTCCCAAGACTTGTGAAGTCATCAGACAATCTGATTGGCAGGGGTTAGGATTGAAGCCACTACTCGTAGGCACCTAGT